AACAAATGGGTCATCAGTTCCTTTTCTTCTATCAACATTACCTCCTTTTATTCGGTGTCAAACCTTAGTATTTCTCATCACCCCTCCACATTCCATTGTACTTTCGGTTAAGTTTATCTGGTGTCACATATCGAAACAACAAGATTATTTATCCATCATTAATAGGCTGACTCCTCACAGGACTCAGATTCTGCAGTTTGTCACCACATCTCAGGATGCTCTTCCATTTCTCTCCTTACTGCATTGTCAGAGAACACATTTCCATGTGTTTCAGCTGTGTGCAGACAGGCGAGCAGTACTTTAAAAAAGGCTTACCTGACTACTTATCACCATGTAACATGGGAACCAAACCACAGACGTTCTTCAGCTCTGCTGGAGAACCTCATATACACGTCTACAGCCCTGTTTTTCCACTCGTGAGAATCATTATATCTTCTCATTTCTCATCAGACTTAATCCTTTTTGGTCCCATTTTATAACCTTAATACTTTATTCAAAAAGTAAAAATGGCAAGAAGAGAAGTCTCTATATTTCTACTAGCCTGTCTACCAGCTACCTACATGTCTTCTTGTACCATGAATATATCTTGTCTCAAAGACAGGAGTCCCTGCTTGCTCATTCAAGACCCTCCTCCTGCCTTAAAAATTTTCTCCTCCACTCAAATGTTTCTCCATTCCAGCTTATTCCCATCAGTGCAGGGGCTTGCTTGGAAATCTTTTTCTCATTCACACACCATTTCTCTTTCTCCCTTCACGCTGCTCTCAGTGACTGTTCACTTTGATACACTTCCCCGATTCTTTCTCTTTTAAAACTTCATTTTTAGTGAGACTGGCCTTTCTGAAGCTCTTGAGTTTCCTTTCCCAGATGCTTAGGGTTACATTGTCGGAAGCACAACCAGAACAACGAACATCTCTGTCTCATCAAAAGTCCCTTCACACTGTCCATCTCGTCCCGGGGGCTCCTCTCCCATTCTTGGCCCTGGCAACTGTTCAATTATTCCAGATCTCTTTTCGTGAACTCAACCGTCTGTCCCCACCACTCCTTGGAAATCGTTCTTGCTAACATTATCCACCACTTCCACGTCACGTCACCCAGAGGTCATTTCCATTTCCTGCTTCCTTAGCCTCTTGGGGGCCGACAGTCGATCACTCCTTCTGTAGGACACTTTTCCCTTGGTCCCAGAATGCCATGTTCTTCTGTTTTCTCTCTGTTTCACGCCTGCTGCTCTTAGCTCCTTTGCCAAACTGAATCTGTCCTCGACATGTTGACAGCCTTGAAGTGGATAGCTAGACTTCATCCATAGTTTCTTCTCCAAATGTACACAACTTTATCATTTAATGTGCCATGTTGTCTAAACTTAGGCTTATCTCACCAGCTTCGGCTTATTCTTTAAATAGTAGTCAGTGGCCACTCGGGTGTCTACCAGACATCCTAACCAGCTTTCTAGATTTCTACGTCTGTCACCACTGCCTACACTAAACCTACCCATTTTTTCCCATAACTTTTCTGTTTCAATAAATGTCATCACCATTCTTTCTGGTTGCTCTGGCCAATTATTTAGAAATAGTACTTAGCCTCTCTCACCCTTCCTCTCCCCTCTCTCCTTCCCTTCCTTCCTCCCCCTCTCTATCCCTCTCTCCCTCCCCTCTATCCCTCTTTTCCTCTCCCTCTCTCATTCTCTCTCCCTTCCCCTCTCTCTTTCTCTGTCCCTCTCCCATTCTCTCTCCCTCCCCCTCTCTCTTTCTCTGTCCCTCTCTCATTCTCTCTCCCTCCTCCTCTCTTTTTCTCTCTCTCCTTCTCTCATGCCCACTCTCCTCGTGGTTGTGCTCTGTACCAGGAGCACTCTGAGTGTCCAGACTGTCTGAAGCTTCAATACAACTTATATCTCTGCTTTATTTATTTGAGCACCACTCTCTGAAATAATGTTCTATTTTATGAAAGACTTTAAAACTAAAATACAATTATATCACTTCCTCTTCTTTATCCTCGCACTAACCCTCACACATTAATAACCTTTTTTGATCATTATTGTTCCATATATGTACATAAATATGTAACTACAACCTGTTGAGTCTTGTGTGTATACAATTCCAGGGCTGATCACTTTGTATTGGACAACCAATTATGGGACTCCTCCCTGGAAGAGGATATTCCTACACACACACACTCAGCAGTCATTATTTGCCTGAATTTCTTTGTCTAGGGGTAGGGACCCAGGACATTTCCCCTTTGTGCATTAGCATGTATATTTATATTGTCATTGTTCTGGTCTTCTTTAGGCAGCCATATGTTGAGGTGTCATGGGTCCCTGTTATTCCTTGGATACACAGTTTCACAGCAAACTTTCTGGTCTTCTGCTCTTACAATCTTTTTGCCTCCTCTCCTGCAATGTTCTCTAAGTCTTAGGTGTCAGAGTTGTCGCCCACTATAATGTAGATTCCTTCATAGTCAAGTATTCAAACGTAATTCTTTACGAACAAATACATAAATAATGTTTTTCTGCTAGCTCCTTCGGATTGCTTGCTACTACCTGAGGAAGTTACCATTCAATTAAGCATTTAACCAAGTAGGATTTCAAACTAAGCACAATAAAAATAATAATTATGAGAAAATCTTGATTAGCTGTTAAAGAAATTGTAGGCACTGTCTCAGCGCTCTGTGCATGCTCGCTTGTCTCTACAAATCACATCTCGATCTCACAGAAAAGAAAGCTAAAACAGAGGAGAAACACACTTCCCAGGACCTCATGGCTTGTAAGAGAAAGAGAGCCTATCATATCTCTACCATCTAGCGACAAAGCCTGCATTTTCCCCAGAATTTCTCCTTCTTGACCAATAATATCACCAAAGGAGAGAATATTTGAAGAACTCCAACTCTTCTCTGAACCCATACGTCCTCTGATGAGAAGTTGGTAGGCGTGAGGCCCCATGCCTTGAGACTGAGACCTTTATTCCTCTTATTTGACCTTGTTACACCTGGCAGCGGGTCCAGAGATGAAACTTAAGATGTTTAAAAGGAGGAGAGAATAGAGAATAAGGTCAGAGGGACAAACTGACAGGGTTAAGAATGAGGCTATCATCCCTTCATCACAGAGAAAAGGTTACTGACAATTACCTTATAACCATAAAAAGGACCATGTGTCTTTTCTGGATAATATAGACTACGGGGAAAGAAACAGAGAAAGAAGGAAGGAATTCGGGCCTGGGGATGTGGGGAAGATGGCAGGAGAGGGGGAAGAAGGGGGGTTGTGGGGAAGGCACAGGGGAGGAGAGGGCAGGCATTGTCAGGATAGCCCTTTGGAGAAGTGTGACGGTGTGTCTGTGGACCGCGCTGCTCTGGTCCAGCCTGTACTGGTTTCTTTTCCAGCTCCACTCTGTGAACCCGCTGGTGAGTTGTGCTTCCCAGTCTTCCTCGCAATCCAGGGAGTACCTTGTCACCCCAATCAGCACATGAGACGTGTGGGTGACTGAACAGCCATGCCTGTCCAGGACACAAACTTCAGAGACTCTTCCGGGCACAAGCTGTGACCTGTGTCTGCCCAGCTGGGTGAGCTGGTCTGGAACCACCTCAGCACAAGCAGGGGAATACGGTCACACAGAGGTGGCAGAAACATCGAAGATTTACGTTAGAAGGAGTCTGTTCTTCAGAGGCCCCAGGTCCCCACTGTGCTCTTTGACTGGGGGATACATCCCCAATGGCCAGGAAGATGGAGTCAGAAAGTCACAGAGCACAGCACTACAGTTAGTCCTCCAGCCAGATTCCAACAAGATGCTCCCTCAGGCTACTTTTAGTTCAGCCCTATAGTTGTAGCTGTTTTGTTCTCTCTCTCTCTCTCTCTCTCTCTCTCTCTCTCTCTCTCTCTCTCTCTCTTTCCTGGCATATGCAAATTTAATTGATTTTCTTACCAGAAGGAATTTCCTCTGTGAAACTTATGCAAATCTACCAATTTGATTTGGTAGACCTGATCTCTTGCACACAAACTATTAACCACGAGGTTAAAAAAAGATTGTCTGGTGCACCCAGCAACACAGGACCAGAGGTCCCCCGTGGTCAGGGAGCTCAGAAGACTCTGGTCTTCTGGGTCCCTCGCTGATATGCAAATTTAACTCATTTGTGCTAATGCTGTGTGTGCTGTGTGCCTGGTTTCCCCTTTCCCTCTAAGCCCAGGCACTCAAGCAAAGCCTACAGAGAAATACAAAGCCACATCAAGGACAAGGAAATGGTTGGTTTACATGTTCTTAAGGAATTCTCAGATGCTTGAGAGTTCTACACAGCAGAACTGCAGACTCTTGCAGTGAGGCGGGTCTGGCTTCTTGCTCTTTTTTCCACTGGCCCAGTCAGGAGAGAGGCCTGTAGGCGCCTAACACCTTTCTTTCTCAGCTCATTTTCAAATGCTGTAAAGTTTATCAGTCCTCTGAGGACCATAGATGTCCAGGAGAGAAGATGCAGGGTATTCCATACCCAGGGCAGATGCTAACTGTAGGTGTAACTGCTACCTAAAAGGATTCTGCAAAAAAAAAAGCCTTCTTGTAGGAAAGACTTGAGGTTATAGACACTGAACCAGGTATCACCGGGAACCCAGGGTATTTTTCATCTGGTAAAGAGAGAAATAATTTCTCTTAAGAAAACTATAAAAGTTTCCCAAATTGAGAGACTCCGGGGCTTAGACAAATGCCCAGAGAGACTGGGCTGATGGGACAGTGAGGAAGATGAGGGAAAATGAAGCTTCAATCATCTTTACATACTCTGAAATGAGCCCTTAAAACCCCAAAGCACATACCCCTAAGACTTAAGACGTGGATTAAATTTTCATCACATCTCACGGATTCTACAGAGGTTTATATAGAACTTCTGAGCCAAGGGATCCAGGCTGTGTGGATGATGGATTCAGGGATTTCCCAGGCAAGTGTTCTCCCTTTTCTCCATCAGCGACTGCAGCAGGAGGCTCAGAGAAGGGTCAACAGAGAACTGAGCCTCCCCCCTGAGCCTTGTTTTCATGGTGTTGCTTCCATGACAACCGATTCCCCCAGGATCCCGGTGATGTCTTTGAAAGTGATGGCATGGGTCTGGGATGTCAGCGCAAGGGGAACCTTTTTTCCTTATCAATATGATTTATAACAAAGGAAAAAGAACGGAGCTGAGTTTTAGCTCTATGGTAGAACATTTGCCCAGCATCCATAAGGCTCTGCCACTGTGATTCCCAGTACTGTCAAAATAGAAGGAGGAGGAGGAGAGGAGAAGAGGAAGGAAAGAAGGGAGGGAGGGAGAGCGGGGAAAAGAGAAAGGAGAGAGAGAGTTTACTAGAACTTTAAGCTTCACTGTATCCAGCAAGAGTCTTCAATATACCTACTCTAGCATAACTTTAACAATTATACCAGAAACTTAAAAAAGGAGATAATGAGATCTAAGCCACAGGTAAAGATTGCCCTCTGGAAGCCCTCCAGAAGGAGCAGGATGGGTTCTCCCCAAAGGGAAACTCGTGGCTATGAGGGAGGTGGTGGGAGAGGTTGTCTGTTCTACTGGCTGGGAACACAAAGATGCCTGTTCACAAACACTGCCCTGGAATTTGTGTTTATGTCTTTTCTCTAGATCTGTTTCTACAACCTGTGCTAGAATTCAGTCCTTCCCACCCTGTAGAGGGGCATTCCATGACCCTGACCTGTAGGGTCCAGCTCCTTGCACAGAAGCCATATATTCAGTTCCGGTTCTGCTTCTTCGGTGATGGCCGGGTTCTTGGGTCAGGCTGCAGCAGCTCCCCAAAGCTTCAGATCCCTGCCAGGTGGAGGAAAAACCCAAAGTCTTACCGGTGCGCAGCTGAAGCGACAGCTCAGAAGGTCACAAAGTGGAGCCTGACAACCAAGATACCTGTGCAGAGTGAGTGTCTGCGCTCACTCTTCCAGAGTCAGAGCTGGGTAACAAAAGAGCAGAACAGGATGTCTCCCGCGCTCCTGAGAAGGTAGACATTGGGAGGAGCTGCCAGCTGCCCTGGTGAAGAAGCAAGGAAAGGCCTTGTGGGAGGAGTGTGTAGAGTGTGCTATTGGAGAAGAGTTTATGGGAGATGCTGCAACCAAAAACAGCCATGTTTTATTATCCTGTGCCATATGATCCCATGTCAGGGTCGATCATCCAAAGCAAATGTCCAGTACCTACAAAGGGTTGAATGTCTCAAACTTGCTAAAACTTCAACATTGGTAAAACAAAATCTACCCCAACCTGTAAAAACCTTGATCAGCTCACACATAGCAGATCCTCCTCTAGTCCTGTGGTGTAACTGACTTCTAGGACTGCGGGAGCTAATGACAGTCACACACTTACAAATGGAAATCAGATCTAAGAGAAGTTGAGTCATGTGCTCAAGCACACACGGCAAGAAAGAGCTTGAAAGAGTATTCGTAGCCCAGCAGTGTGATTTATAACGTGGACTTGAGATCACTGTAGGGTAGTAGAAATTGTGATCCCAGGGTGGGAGATGACATCGCATACTCTGTGGTGGTGGGAGAGTACTTTTCTCACTCTGTGACTATCAGCCAAACCTAAGATGATTCCGAGTCAGCAGAACACCAGCCCCAATGTAAGCTGTTAAAATCCCTGACTTGGCCAGCAGCCTTTTGCTTCCAGGACCGGAACACCCACCCCTCTCTGAAACGCTCCCTACTCAGGGTCCCCTTTGTTATCTTGTGTTCCCGCAGGAATCCCCGTCTCTGATGTGAACTTGGAGACACGGCCCCCAGGGGGATGGGTGATGGAGGGAAGCAAACTGGTCCTCGTTTGCTCAGTTGCTAATGCCACTGGAAACATAACATACTTCTGGTACAGAGGGGCCCTGGGTTCAAATCTGGAAACAAAGATACAGCACTCACTGACGGCGGAGTTTGAGATCGTGGAAGCGAAGAGCAGCGACGCTGAGCAATACTATTGTGCAGCTGACAATGGCTACGGCCCTGTTCTCAGCGAGCTGGTGGACATCACTGTCAGAGGTCAGTGACGCAGCTGCCACATCGCAGCCAGCATCCCACACCACATCCACACTCCCCTGGGCTGCCTTTAGCGACGTCAGTGGGGTTGAGCCTCTAGGGAGCAGGCAGAAATTATGGGACTGTTTGCCCCGTCAAGGTACCTTTCTCTAATTGTTGACTGTTGATCAGTTCCAGTGTCTCGCCCTGTCCTTACCTTTGGGGACTCTGGAACCCAGGCTGTGCTGGGGGACCTGGTGGAGCTTCACTGTGAGGCCCTGAGAGGCTCTCCCCCAATCTTCTACCAGTTTTATCATGAGAATGTCATTCTGGGGAGCAGCTCAGCCCCCTCTGGAGGAGGAGCATCCTTCAACTTCTCCCTAACTGCAGAACATTCTGGAAACTACTTCTGTGAGGCCAGCAACGGCCAGGGTGCCCAGCGAAGTGAGGTGGTGACTCTCAACCTAACAGGTATTGTTCTGGCTTTGGGACTCTCAGGGTCAGTGTCTCTTCCCCAGCATCGTGGGACAGCTTCAGAGTTTTCCAGTGGTGTGTCGTCAGGGGCGGGGCTTCTGTAATCAACGTGGGTGGTGCACATGAGAGGGGCGGGGCTTCTGTTCACCTTGCTGGCACAGGCGATGAGCATGAGGGAGAGGTGTGGAGGACGGAGTTTGAGTGCCTATCTTCTTTCATCAGTGTGAGAAGCAGGGGTACTCTAGATAAACAAGGACACCCTCCCCCATGAGGAGCAGCCCTTGAACATAACCCACACATGAGATGTCTGTTTTCCAAACCCAACCCCTTCCCTACCGGAGCTCAGGTGCAGATCTCTCCTCAGTGCCCATTGAGGCTGGAAGCAGTCATCTCTTCTCAGGAGTCACTGAGTGGCTACTTGGCTGTCTGGGCCCCATCACCATGGCCCTAATATTTTGCTACTGGCTCAAGAGAAAAATAGGTTAGTAACTTCATATATTCAAATATTGCTACTATAACCTCCCCCCCCCAAAAAAAAAAACAGACTGCATTTGTGGCATGCACACAGCAAAGTAAGTGCATGCCCTAGCTACCTTACCTATGTGTCTTCTCATTAACTTTCAAAGCCTGCTATAGGAAAGTTCTTTAATTTCACCGCCTGATATCCGGCTCTTCTGTGGGTTAATTTTTATAGAACGTAACTATTTTTTAAACTGGAGCAGAGGAACACTTGACCACTCACTCTGGCTAGCTCCAGGCCTGATGTCAGTGCAGCAGTCTTACCAAGGGTGATGTCACATGCTTCTCCTTCTCCCTGAAGTACAATTCACATCCCTATGGGTTCTGATCATTCCTGGAGCTTTCTCACCTTTTGGATAAAATGTTGTTTTTCTCCTGAAAGTCTCACCTGGTAACATAGTCAACAATTGCTCTCCATTTTGAATTTTAAAGTTACTTTCCAAGTTTATCACAACCCATAGTTTCTCATGTATTTATGCTTCATCCTGGTCTCCTAGTCTCCACTGAGCAAGTTGAAGAGGGTTAGTAGAGGACAGTGTGAGGCAATTCAAATCTCATTGAATTCCAAGCTTTCCCAACATCTTTGGACACCTCTTCCCAGCTGTAACTTGGCCATGGCAGCACCTGGCTCTGGGACTCTGTGCAGGGTGAGATTCACCAGTGTGGTTACAAAATTCAAAGCAAAGCATGTAATAGATGCAAGGTCCCAAATCCTGTTTCTGGTACTTAGGGGCTTGGGGAAGTTGTTGACTTCCAGCTTTGGGAAGTTGACTTAACCCTTCTGGACCTGAATCGCCTTCGTTGTGACAGAAAGACTCTATAAGTGTCTACCAGATGTCCGCTGGGGACAACGTCATCCCAATTGAGTACCACAGGGCAGGAAGACCATGAAAGTCGGGCTCCGCTGATCTATGCTCTCGGGTTTTTTTTTTTTTTTTTTCTGCCTTGCAGGAAGACAACCGGATGATCCACTCAGGTGAGGGCCCTGCTTTCTCTACGTGCTGATGATGGCAAAAACACACTTTTAAAAAGTTATTTCTTTTATTTTTTTGAGATTATAGTATGATTACATCATCCATCCCTTTCCTCTCTCCAAACACTCCCATATACCCCTCCCTGCTCTTTTTCAAATTCGTGGCCTCTTTTTTCTATTGGTTGTTGTTATATACATATATGTGCATGTATATACATATGTATTTCTAAAGCTAAATACAACCTGCTCAGTCTGTATATGGCCTGTATGCTTGTTTCCAGGGCCAACCATTTGGTACTGGATAACCAACCGGTATGCTGCTCCCCACGGAAGAGCATATCTCCCACCCTCAGGGTTCCTTAGTAACCTGCAGTTCTTCATGTACAGCCTTTCCCTGTCCACTTTAGTATGTCTGGTTTTGTCATCTCTGCTCAGACAATCGCGTTGGTGAGACTTTATGGGTGTAGCTTCTGACATTCCTGGGAGACACAGTCTCACTGCAAACTTTCTGACCCTCCGGCTCTTAGAATCTTCCCACCTCCTCTTCTACGCGATGTTCTCCGAGCCTTTGGTGCAGGAGTGTTTTGTAGATGCATCCATTGGGAATAGACTCCACAACTCTGCATTTTGATTGGTTGTGGTTTTCTGTGGTGGACTCAGTCTGTTGCCGAGAGAAGGTTCTTTGTTGAGGGGTGAACTTATCTATGGGTATAAGGGCAAATATTTAAAATGTAGTTAGGAATAATGCTGGTTTAGTAAAGTGGTGGTTGTATGTTCTCCTCTAAGGTTGATGACGTCACTAGCCCTGAGTACTGCTAGCCATTCCTGGGACCTTAGGGTCATCATGCCACACTGGTTGTTGTGGTTCCTAGGTGCCATCGCTGGGTAGGACTGTTGGTTGCTTCCCTCCTTAGGAAACTTGCATGGTGCCTTCTGGTACCATGAAAACTTACTTTTAAAACGGTACTGTCCTCTCCTGTGAGCTGCTTCCCTTTTCATGGCACTGAAAACTCACTCCTGAGTCCCCCATTGGCAACGTTGAACATTAGTTTCCTATTTCTCTTTCACTATTTTCCTTCAATTATTTTGCACTTTTCTCTAATGCTTCCTTCCAATGCCGCTGCAGTTACCGTCTTTTGATTTCTTTTGGTCAATTCATGCAGTCTGCTTGCTTACAGCAGAGAGGTTTGAATAGAGGGAAAGACTCGAAAAGTCTCGAAATTCTGAGACTCGAAAAGTAGTTTAGGGCAGATAAGCTATATACACTATGCGTCTCTGAAATGCAAGACAGAAAGTAATAAACACACTGAAAATGCTGTTGGTGAAGTTCGCTAGAAGCTTCGAGAAGGAAATCATTTCTAAAATGCTCGCTGGTTCCAAACTTAGCTTGTGCATTGTCCACACCAACGGTAAACACTCATTCCACACTCCCGGGGGCGTAGCACATGCATGACCATTTTCTTTTGTTCCTTCCTCAAGCTGCTTACTCTGGCCAGCTATCTATTTCTACTGAGATGAACCACTATTTCTTTACTTAGTACCCAGCCCTGTCCTAGGGACTGGCAGTCATGCCGCCTGATAAGCAGTCAGATAAGCAGGAGAGGGGCGGCCATGGCTCAGTAGTAAAAAGGATCAACTTCCAAGACACTGCCTTCTTCCTCAAGCTCCTGACAAAGGCCTGGCAGCTTAAAACAAAGGCCTTGTAGGGTTCCTCTCCTTCCATTAGTCCCCTGCTGATAGACTGGCTCAAGTTCAAGGCCTTATGAGGACACACTAACACAACAGTTGTAGGCCCTTCAGACATGCAGTCTTTCTTCGACTGACCAACCCCACATGAGGGGAGGACGGTCCTTCAATGACTTAAAAAAAAAATCAGCCCTCAAGGAGAAGCTGGACGTCAGCTTTTCAAGCCCCCTCCACTCTGCTGAGGGTCTTTCTCGGTGTGCCTGCTGAATGTGTGTGCTTCCTCGGCCCTAGTAAAAAGCCTTTCTTCAACTCTTGGGTCTGTCTTCTGCTGTCTGCGGTGTTCACAGTTTCTCTGCTGTTAGCTTTTGCACTCAAGGTTTTTCCTGCCTTTAAATTCTTTAACTGACAGAGAAAATGAACCCGATCGAGATCCCTAGATGGTAACAGTTACCTGTGTAGGCGATGTCATAGTGAACCTGTAACCCCTGGAACACGTGCTATGGGGCAGCACCACAGAGCCCCATTCTGCCCATGAACGAGGCTTCGGCTTATGCCACACAGCTGTATCTTCCAGCTGTTCATTTTTCCATGAATTAGTATCCTGTACAGGACCCTATCCCTCACATTTTACAATCTCAGTCACACCCAGAGCATCTGGGATGGCATGTGTTTTGTGCTTGCAGGAGCCCTCCTAGGCCTGTGCTCCAAGAATCCAGCTACCTCAACTCACCTGACCCAGGGCAGCTACAATCCCTGTATGAGAACGGTGAGGCTTCCCAGTGACCCGAGTCAGCATGGCACAAACTGGAAAGGGGAGGCCGTCCAGGGTGCTGTCTGCTCGCCAAAGCCGATTCTGCTGCAGCCTAGTCCCTCTACAAATACATGACTCATGACTCACCTGCCTTTGAGTTTGTGGGAGGAGGTGGGTGTGGAATAGGTGAGAGAGCGGGAAGGAAGGGCTGCTTCAACGTGTCTCCCTTCTTGTTTCAGTGAATGTTGTCAGTGGTGACGACATTTACTCACTGGTGTACCATACCCAGCAGGAGATGGAGCCAGCAGTGGGTAAGACTTGGAATGGGATGAATTGTTCACGAACTTTTGTCTGTCCCAGAGCCAAGTCGGTGGCTCTGCTTGGCAATATGGCAGTGTTTGTACTTAGAGCTGACTGTATCGCTGCAGATACTTAGAAACCGACCTTTGTCCGGAAGCGGTGTCAAGTAGAGCTCAGTGCTGTCGTTAGGATGGCCTAGTGCGTCTTTCACGTGGCCTGTTTTTAATGGCAACCCGAAGATGACAGCCTCTGCCGAGTGGCCGGACAGGTCCCTTGCAGCACCGCTTCACCGTGGCTGCTGCTCTTGCCCCATCCTATGCATGGTAGGCCCAGGAGAGGAGAGAGGTTTCAAGCGTCTCCAGTGCCAGAACGGCCTGTGTACCCACCCACCCCAGGCTGCCCGTTCTTCTGTGGACACTAAGATAATCATTCATGCGCTAGAAAGGAAGACAGGAAGTAGTGCTGGAGCTCAGTCTATGGAAAACAGACTGGAGAAGAAGCAAGCTTCACTAATGGGGGGTTGTAAAAGATTAACTATGAGTGGAACCTCACCGCGCTTTACTCATTCCTCCACAGCTCAGCACATGAGGACACACGGGGCAAGTGAGGTAAGCAGGGTCTCCACTGTTCTCTGTGTGCTTTCTCTGTTCCCTCTGGAGACCGTCCTACTGCTTTCCCACAGTATTGCTACGTAGGAGGAGGAAAAAATATCATGGTCCCTTATCTACCAGCACAGTAGAGACACAAAGCATTTAGTTATAACAATAATCACTGCATGAGGGAGTTTTGGAGGCTTATGGGTGTATTTCCTTGAGCTATGTGCTCATGTGCAGTTCAGTCATGGTTTATACTTATTTTTAAGGTTCTATTTATTTGAAAATCTCTATCCTAAAATACTGTTGAACTGGACAGCCACCAACTAGTGATGTATAGCTAGGAATACAAAGTGAATTAAATTAATACTGAATAATACTAAACTAATGTTGCCTTTAAAAAACAGGCCTTGTGAAACATGATTTGTATTATGAAAAATTCATAATTTATAACTCCTGGATAATTCATGATATCCATGGTGGGGGCAGAGAGGTGGCAAGAGTTAAGAGCCTTGCTGCTCTTATAGGGGACCTGAACTCAATTCCAGCACCCACCAGCTTATAGCTACCTGCCTCTCCAGCTCCAGGGGATCCAATGCCTTCTTCTGGTTGCCATGAGCACCTACATTCATGGTGTACATACCCACACACAGACAACACATATATGCACCATTTAAAAAATTCTAAAAGCCATCCATGATGCTGCAAAAGTACTTTCTGAATTTCAGGTGTTTTGACTTTGTTCCCACAAGTATCGCTGGTGCTTTGCAGTTTTGTCCTGCTTAGGGTGGTCTCTGGGCAGAACTCTAGTCCTCAGAAAACCTGAGAGCAGTTTAGTTTATTCATTCCAATGTCTTTGAACAATGACTGTTCATAGGGTTGTTCAGCAGGAGCACCTCTAGAAGCCTGAGGAGTGACAGGCTCCTTTGACAATGGGGCAGGAGGCCATGGGCTTCCAAGAGGCTCCTTTTAAGGTGTTACGGTTGCACATGACAAAATCCAGGCTGACTGGGAAGAGGCCCAGTGGAAGACATGTTCCTCTGTCTTCTCTTCTTTGGTCCTTCCAGGTCTCCTCTGACATCTATTCTAAGGCAAGGAAGATAAACATTGCAGATATGGACTATGAAGACCCTATGTAAAATGATGGGAACAGCGTCTGTGAAGTGCTGTGAGAAAGCCAAAGGCCTGATGTGGACTCCAGGGATGCTGGGAAAGGATAGTTTGCTGGTACACCTTCCCCACAGGCTTCCCTTCATAAGATGCCTCCTGCACCTACCCAGTGTGAAGTTGGTACAAGTCCTGGAGAAACAACCCAGGAAAACCAACTTAGACCCAGAAGCTGGAAAGATTTGCTGGTGGCATCTGGTTGTTGACCATTCATGTTGAAGCACGACAAATTGCCTGCTGACTTTTATTTACAAGAGGAAAATGGGGCAATGAAAGCAACTGAGGGCTTGGAGCAGAGAGACAGCAAGACTTAAGTGTCCACAGAGCCAACAACGTCAACGACTTGGCAGGAGGACTGTGGAGAGAGAGCTGCGCTTCCTCTGTGCACACAGCCTGCTTCCACCTAAGATACCTGACTCTGTGTACTTTGAGTCACTGTCATCGATTTAGAAAAAAAGCACAGTTGCAAAAACTTACTGTGACTACACTTAATTTTAGCCTAGCACACAGATTTTGTGTGCATAGGCTGCTCTAACTCCTCTCATGTTTATATAGTTGTTGAAAGGCTCACCGAGTTCTAAGTTTTGAACTTCGTGCAGTGTTTAGACTAAACTTTATGAATATATGGATACAGTGTTTCTTCCTAAAGTGTCAAGCTTTCTGAAAACATGGTCATTTGGCTTGAAGTCTCTGTTTCAATTTTAAATCAATTACAGATTTGCATTTATATATTAAAACAATTTAGAAATAAAGTGAAAAGTAAAGTCTTTGCTATGAGATATCACAAAATGGTAACCACTGTAAAAACGTAGCCCATATTTCTCCAGTTTGTGTACAAACACTTGCTCTTGCATATAAATACTAGATAATCAGAAGCATAGCTACTCACTCAAGTAGCTGAAACATGTTCATGTCTATACGTATAGCTATCACACTATTTCAAAAGACTGTGGAATATTTATATCATAATAGATGTATTTTCCTTTTACACCGTAGTAAATCTATGCAACCTAAAACTGATTATTTAAATTTTTATCATTTTAACCTTTTTTATTTTTGAGACAGGACCTTGCCATGTAGATCAAATTTGCCTAAGGATTTGAGATTCCCCTGATTCAGTCTCCCCAGTACTGGGTCTACAGGCATGTGCCACCACACTCCACTCTTTTTAACAGTTTTAAATGTATGGTTCAGAAACATCATCTACGCTCACATTTTAATACCTTTCACCACTGGTGGACATGAAAGTTGTTTCAAAATTCCATATGATAAATGTTCTCACATTTACACCCTCCTGTGAAATTATCTGATGAGGATATTTGGAAATCTGGAATAACACACTGTTACTAAATGCTCCTAAATTTCTCTCCAATAAATCTGTACAAATCTGCACACCCTCCAACCACACAAGAGGAAATCAACATGTGGGGAAAAGATATAGTCAATTTATTTTTTAAGTTATTGATTCAATTGATCATCTGTGTGCAAATTCAGTTGTAAGGGGTCATTGTACTAGCTTCTGTGTTTAATATTTGCCTTTTTCGTTTTTCTTCTTTTGTTTTTCAAAGATGCAAAACTTGTCTTTCTAAATTTAAAAAAAAAAAAGTAGAAGTCTTATAAGAAGAAATCAGCGGGGCTGGGAATTTGTGTCAGAGGTAAAACATGTGCCAGCATGTTCAGTGCCCCAGTTTGATCCCCTACTCCACAAAACAAAAACAAGCAAAAAAAAATTTAAAAAAAAACACCACCTACCCCAGGGAGCTAAAATGCTTGCCCAACTCCCTTATTTACAGTAACACAGTAACTATGCACAATATTACTTTTAAAGGTTTGACACTCTAATGCAGGCTGAATCTTTTAAAGGTTTGATCTGCTAATATGGACTCCAGTGAGGCAGGAAGGGCAATACTTAATTACTTCACCATACTGAAAACAAAAGTATCCACTGGGTGGTGGTGGTGCACTTTTAATCCCAGCACTCTGGAGGCAGAGGCAGGAGGATCTTTGGGTTCAAGGCCAGCCTGGTCTACTCTACAGAGCAAGTTCCAGGACAGCCAGGGCCACACAGAGAAACCCTGTCTTGAAAAAAGAAAAGGAGAAAAAGAAAACAAAAGTATTCTTTACATTGATAGTGTCTTCTCCCCCAGAGCTTTCGGTAAGACCCTGGGAGTCTTCTTACGTGTCTGGGGATCACCCCAGCCCAGTCAGGAGTCTTTGCTGTTTTATATGGAAAAGCCTTTATCCAACCTATAATATTTTCCAGGACGAAAAGAAATTTTGACTTAGATCCTCCTGATATACGTGTAAAGTCCGTCTACTGTAGCTAGAGTTTTCCTACCTGGCCCACAGTCAGGACAAATCTCTCTCACCTGCCAGTCCCACAGCCTCTCAGACCCGACCAAGTAAACACAGACACTTATATTGGTTACAAACTGTATGGCCATGGCAGGCTTCTTGCTAACTGTTCTTACAGCTTAAATTAATCCATTTCTATTAATCTATACCTTGCCACGTGGCTTGTGGCTTACCGGTACTTTACATCTTCCTTGTCCTGATGGCAGCTGGCAGTGTCTCCCTCACCCAGCTTCCTGTTCTCTCCATTCTCCTCTCTGTTAGTCCCGCCTATACTTCCTGCCTGGCCACTGACCAATCAGTGATTTATTCATTGACCAATCAGCAACACATTTGACGTACAGCCCATCCCACAGCAGTCTACCAGCCCTCTCTTGGAAAAATCTCCCATCTTCAGTACCTGGGGGCTGGAGGCGCTTGTTTGATGGATTGATTTTGTGAAGAACCTAGACTACTTGTTGGATGACTTCATTATGAACATCCTCTTGGCCAGTGACTAGAGTGTTCTGTTCCAGTTGATACATCTGTGGAGGGACTTTAGGATCTTCCACTGAAGGAGTTTAGGTAACAAGCACTTTTGGGAGAAACCAGCCATCTGCAGTAGTCTAGCTGACATTCTTTCTTTGAGGCCAGGGCTGCCTTGGTGGGATAATATTGGGTTCTCTCAGGAGGTGGTGGGAATTCTTCCCAAAGAACAGGGCATGCCTCGTGTTATTTATTATCCAGGGCTGCCCCTTTATAGTTGGAGGCAGCTGCTTGATTTCCCCTGGTCATCGAATCTTCCCATTTTTGGTGTCCTGAGCAAAGAATTACAGAAACTTGGATGAGAAGGACAGCATCTAAGAGCTTAAGAATTTTCTTTGGATGTTTTTTTTTTTTTTTTTTTTTTTTTTTTTTTTTTTGGTTTTTCGAGACAGGGTTTCTCTGTGTAGCTTTGCGCCTTTCCTGGAACTCGCTTTGGAGACCAGGCTGGCCTCGAACTCACAGAGATCCGCCTGGCTCTGCCTCCCGAGTGCTGGGATTAAAGGCGTGCGCCACCACCGCCCGGCTTCTTTGGATGTTTAATGGGGGGAGGTCCCCAGTGCTATTTAAAAGACTTCTTCCCCTCCAGCTAGCTGCATGGGCATGTAGACTTAGGAAAGCTTACATAGGATCGGTACAGACACTAACTTCCTTTGACTCGGGCTTTGGTGAAAGCAAAAAAGCACAGTAAATTGGACACTAGAATTGTGGAATATAGGCCGCAAGGCAAGGGTGATTAAACTCATAACCAGAGTGTAACCAAATATGTAATTTTGTCCTTGAAGAAAGAGCTCCCCTCAGTGTACAATACTAAATGGGGATTCTTCGGAGGCTGAATATTTCACTCAGGACGAGCAGCTGAGCTATCCATTAGGAGGACCTCTTCACAGGAATAGTGGAGTTTCCCATCTCCTTCTGGGATCTATGTGGAAGCATTTAAATTTTGACAGGCTTTAAACATCACCTCAGGACATTCCAACAAAGGGCTTGGTATTTAGTAAGGAGATTTGATATCACAGATTCTCCTTAGACTTAAAAATGCCTCAGTATCATGTGGAGTGTGAACCATTAGA